AGCTCCCAGACCTCTGTCTGATGGACGACTCCAGCTATCGCTGCACACGGCCAGAGTGTCGAGCACCTCATGCAGAAATAGGGTGAGAAAGAGCATTTAGTGAAATAAAAAAGACCACAGTGATGAGGCACAGGGCATGGCCATGCCTCGGGCCCTTCCTCTCAACATCCCGTAAGTCTTGTGCATTCCCTTAGAGCATCCCGCACTAAGCTTCCTCTTTCCTGTGAGATCCATAATAATCTTTCCGTCTCCTCTCCACTCCCTCCCACACAGATACTTCTTTTATCAGTTCCCAAAGCTCTGGGTGAAGCTCTCCAAGGTTTTGAGTGGTTCTTTCAGTGGCCTGAGATCTAATCTTTGGCATCATCTCCTTTATCTAGGGTTTGGTCTAATAAATATTATTATTTTCCCTGTTTTGTCTTCATTTGTATGCTAGATAGGTTCAGGATATTGACATATTCTTTATGTTCTACATTTCTTTTTCTCTCCAAGGGTCCTTGCATTCCACACATCCTTACAATCTGTTGTAACAAATAAGAATAATAAGTTGTTAAATAATTCACATATTGAAATCATAAAATAAGCCAATATATTCATGTTTTTCAGACATATTGTCGATATACTATTGACCTGTTCCACCAACGCATTTGCTTCAGGCTAGTTGCATGTATCTCGTGGTAAATTAAATGCTTAACAGTCCACTGTCTTGGAAAATGTATTGTGAAAAATACACTCTGAACTCATCATGGAGGCCAAGTCCACTGAATCAAAAGTCAGCCTTGAAACCAATAAATTACATTTCTCAAAGGCTCTTGGCACAGGGCATCCAGGAGCTCCTTCTTAGCAACATGGATTACATCTTCTCCATCTCCAACGGCAAGTTAACCATGAGTGAGCAGTGTGCCCTCGTGGCCAAGAAGGCCAATGGGATCCTGGCCTGCATCAGGAGGAGTGTTGCCAGCAGGTCAAGGGAGGGGATCCTGCCCCTCTGCTCAGCTCTGGTGAGGCCACACCTGGAGTATTGGGGGCAGTTCTGGGCACCCCAGTATAGGAGGGACGTGGAGCTTCTCGAGAGGGTGCAGAGAAGGGCAACCAGGATGATTAAGGGACTGGAACATCTCTCGTATGAAGAGAGGCTGAGTGAGCTGGGCCTGTTTTCTCTGGAGAAGAGACGGCTCAGAGGGGATATGATTAATATGTATAAGTTCAGGAAGGGAGAATGCAGGGAGGAAGGGGACAAGCTGTTTTCACTGGGGGCCAGCGATAGGACGAGGGGTAATGGCCACAAACTGAAGCACAAGAAGTTCCGTCTCCAGGTGAGGAGCAACTTCTTTACTGTGAGGGTGACAGAGCAGTGGAACAGGCTGCCCAGGGAGGTTGTGGAGTCTCCTTCTCTGGAGGTCTTCAAAACCCGCCTGGATGCCACCCTGTGCCACATGCTGTAGGTGTGCCTGCTTGAGCAGGAAGGTTGGACTAGATGATCTCTAGAGGTCCCTTCCAACCTTAAATATTCTGTGAATCTGTGAATCTGTGTCAGTAAATATGACATTCAGAAACGTCCTGCTCGTATAACATCAGGAGGGAGATCAGAGACCTATTGAAAGTCATGTGAGAAAGTGTGTCTGATGCCACACTGGTGGGAACCCATGGGTTATGCACCCATGGAGGTCTCCCTTGCAAATACACTTGGTAGCAACAGTAGCACTGTTGAATTCACTGCGCTGGTTGCAGCTTAGCTGGGCTGAATCTGCCCTAAGGAAATCCCTGAGCCCAAGAGCTCCTCTGGGCTGGAGCCCTCACTCCATGAAGGATTTCAACAAACAGTTTAATTTCTTTGCCTCAGTTTCCATAAATGTAAATAGGTTCTGGTAGCAATTCATCGCAGTCTCACCATTTATGAGGCATAATTAAACCTGCTGGAGAAAGCAGTAGAAATCAGTGTAAGTGCAGAAAAGTAAAGATGAGTTAACTTCTGATCAATAGTGGACTGTTGGGGGAAGAAAAAGTATGACAATAGTCCACATAAAAAAGAAAGAAAATCATCAGTAGATGGGGTTTCAGCTGTGAAGAGGCAGCTTCCTCCCTGGTTTGCGTGGCACAGCTGCATTGCCAAGACTTCTGAGCCTGGGAAGTTGGAGAAGAGGGCGTTTGCACAGTAACATCAGTCCGTCCCAGGTGAAAGTACTCTTTTTTTTTTCTTTTTTCAGTAGAATTTAAAACGTTTTCTTGAGTTTGGTAAAGAATTATGTGAAATCAGTTGCATTTCTATTAATTTTTTTCCTGACAGAAATGTATTTTAGATGAATATTTGAAGCCCCTATTTTGAAGAAACTCTATTAATCATTCCATTCAGAATTCACGACTTGTTTTTTGACTAGTCAGTCCAGCAATCAAAATAATCATTTTGCATCTTGGGCTTAAGGAGTACCAACCCCATCCCTGTTAGGCGTGTGCTCATCCCGTTCCTCACACTGCTCCTCCCGGCAGCACCTCTCCTGTGCTTCCTAACATCTTCCTTCCATCGGATGTGGCCTTTCTTTCCCAGGGCTGACGTGTGGAGCCAAGTGAGGGGTTCACCCTTTACAGAATGGGGTTATAAATGTCTGTTCCTAGCCTGTTGTGACGCATCTCCTGGTTTTCTGAACTGAACTGCAGCTCTCGCTGCCGACGCAGGGGCGCCCAGCGCAGAGGTTTCCTTTCCCTTCCGCCTGTATTTCACCCGGAGCACAACAGTCCGCGCACGGCTGTGCCCTCTGGATGTGGCCCTGGCAGCTGCAGCCACCACGTCACCTTGTCCTGCTCAGCTCAATGTGAGATGCTCACGGAGGGACTGCCAGGAAAGCGTTTTGCTTTGCCTCCACACTGGGGTGGTTGTGGCGTTTGGCCAAAGCTGTATTATAAGCCTAGACACATTATAATGCTTTAACACTGTAATATATAGGAAGTATAAATGAGTATATATTTTTTTCAACAACAGTAGGACAGCTGGTCTTGCAGTGGTCTTGCTATTATTACAAAACCAGGAATGTGCCATGATGAATTTTGATTCTAAAAATCAAAACTCACTTTGCTCCTGCCATTTGGAAAATACTCTCTAGCTGCCTCCTCGTTTTATGTCCTAGGCAAAATTTTACTATAGGTGGTAAAATGGCTCTTTAGGGTGCCTGGCTTGGCTCTGGGCCCCAGCCAGCAGCACACACAGGTTTTGGCAGAGCTATCCATACAACTTCCTTGGATATTATCCTGTGTCCTCCTCGGACATTAGGTGTTAGCTGCTTGAGTTTATTGTGAGCAGATCTCAGGCTGTTTACGGCTTGAGGAGCAAGCAGTGCTGGAGAACCCTGCCAGCCCAGTTTGTTGCAAATGGATTTAACTTTTTGTAATAGAATGTACTTGCTCTCCTTGGCTTCCATGAGCATTTGCCTCAGGTATGTTTGTGCTTTTGCTTCTTTTATCTTTCCTTCATGTAGTGCCTACCTGTTCTTTGTACCCAACATAAGAGTGTGCTTGTATGTCTTGTATGTGTGTGTGTGTTTTTTAAATGTAACTAAAAACACCTCAGTAGTGGCACGTCACTCATGAAGGCATCAGAGTTCCTTACTTCTCCAGCTTCTTTTCTTAAGGTTCACTCCTGACCCAAAGCTGTAAACTCTATTCACCATTTAACTAACAGAAATGTTGTTTCCTGTGGATTCTACAGAGGTTTTGCATTTGCTGCAGAAGACCAAGGTCTGTCCATAACAGGGATGAAGGCAGTGCTTGCTTTCTTCAGGAATAAAACTAAATAAGAGCATGCCAGCTGAGAACAGCGTGTGTATGAGAAGATGAGGGAATTGAAGTGTTAGTTTTTAGTTCCTTAATTTGAAGTCATGTCATAACACTTTCCAAACAAAAATCAAACCGCTATCTTTAGGCTCTGATATACATATTTTTTTAAGCTTCAATACATGGTTATCTTTGGTGTAGACTCAGATGGTTAGATGTGCTGTTTCTCAGAGATTGACTAAATTAATTTCTTAACCCAAAAAGAATTGGTCGACTTTGTGATTGTACAACATATTTTCTCATAAAGATTGTAAAACCTATAGATACCTGTTCAGAATTTTTTAATGCTTTCCGTTCCTTTTTTTTGGATCATTAAAAAAAATAACATAAAGTACTAATGATTGCTTCTAGTTTGTTATTTTTACTTACTTGCCATCTTTAGTAATCTGGATTCCAGGGTGCAGTGTGAATACCATTGTGATAGAGCAGTATTTTGTGTAAAACACTGTTTTAGTTGTGTGCTTCTTCAGGCCATCTTAGCAAGTAACAAGAATTTTGCTCCCACATCACTTAAGGATCATCCTCAGCCATAGCAAAGCATGTTCTAACATGAATTGGCCATCGCCTGGTCGTCATGTTTATGCAGATATCTTACCTTTTATATCTTCACTCATACAACTTTCTATTGCAGGTACTGCATCCTTACAGAGGCTACAGTAGTTGTTTACATTCCAAGTAATTAAATGAAAATGCCAGAGTCCTAAAACCTTTAAACTTTAATCTGCTGTTTCTTCTTTTCTTTTCCTTGCAGAGCAGGAGAGCAGTAGCCCTGTGGTCTCTTGCTGCAGAGCTCACAGTCTCTGGCTTGTTCCTCTTCCCTTGTTTGCCTCAGGGATGTCCAGGCTCTCGAAGCAGATGATGTTTCTGCAGTGCAGGAGGAACCTTTGCCAAGGCAAATCTTGCTCAACCTCTCAGAGAAACCTCTCTGAGACAACTGTTTTGGATAACATTTTGCTGCTTTTAAAGAGGTTCAGGTTGATTGATGTATAGTTGTTACCCCTGAATGACTAGTAGGAAGACTCAAAGAAATTGAATATATCGGCTTTGTAGAATACAAGCATAGATAGCTTCAGTGGGCAGAGCCTGCATAAACCACAGCTTTATTAAACTGAGCAGCAAATCCAATGCTGGTGTTCATTCCCTAATTTTATGGTCATCGCTTCGTTCTGTTTCAGATAAGGCGACAAGGTGGAATACAGTTATTGGTGGACCTGTTGGACCATCGAATGACAGAAGTCCACCGTAGTGCCTGTGGAGCTTTGAGAAACTTGGTGTACGGGAAGGCAAACGACGACAACAAAATTGCCCTGAAAAACTGTGGTGGGATCCCGGCGTTAGTACGGTTACTCCGCAAGACTACAGATTTGGAAATCAGAGAACTGGTCACAGGTTTGAGCCTTTCGTTACTTGTTGTGTCTCCAACCCTGTTTGCACAGTTGTGGTGCATGGTTGCTGAGGGTTGCTGTCTGTTTATTACTGTCTTTCTCGTGCTATCAAAATACTTTGGGAATATGAAATATTGCATGACTTGAATACTCTGCAGTTGGTTTACTGGTGAGGACGTGGTTTCCTATTAGGGGTCCTGGTTACTTTGTTCTTCGCTAGCTGTGAATCTTCTTGTAAGAGTGGTCATGTATGTTGTACATAGGGTGTGCAGGTATTGGTAAAGCTTATTTCTTTTCCTGATAGAGAGAAATTTAATTATCTTTCCCTAATAAAACTCAGAGTGGGGAGGGGAGCATTCAGGCATGCAGAAGCACTATCAAATACTACCAGTCTGAAGTGTTTGGTGATTCCTCCCTTTTCCCCTAAATCATCCTGTTTAAAATGCAAAACAGAAGATGGAAGGTGACTCTTGTCATCTTGGAAGATGTTTTTGCTTTGTGATTTCAACCTATTTGATTACTGACAAGAATGTGGTGATTAATTTAATGTTATGAAGAGGAAATCTTAAGATATTTTCATTATCCTATTTTGAAATGCCTGCTCTTTTTTTCTATTGTGATTTTCCTACGCAAATACCTGAGGGAAGTTCTCATTTTTGTGCTAGGAGCACCAGCATTCACGTTATCATGCGTTTCCACAGCAATTGCTTCAACTTGTGGTCCAGACCTCATTTAGGACACACTTAATAGGATTATCATCCCCTGGCTGACTCCAGATTCCTTGCTGGAATAAACTGCACAGTGTGGATTTCGTGCAGATTTCGGTATTTAATTTTATCTCTGAATTGCAACACCTACCACCTCCTCCCTGTTAGGCAGGATTGGTGGGACAGAGAGGCAGCCCCAGAGGGGCTCCTCGTTTGTCCGGTTTTCCTTCCTCATTGACAGCACCAGGGCTCGAAGACGCGGCTGGTGGGGGTGGTAACAAGGCTGAGCATCTGTAGAAGGGGAGCAGAGCAAGAAGACTCTGAGGAGGGCAGTTGAAGTCACTTGGAGGTCAAGATTTCATGCCTAGACCTGTTTTTGGACCTATTTCTAGTGTCTTCTTTTTAAATGGGTGCATCCCTAGAAGGGTGTTTTTTGCCTTGGTTGCATTTTGTGCCTCTCCGAGTGCAAGTGTCCAGACCTTGGATGGAAAATGAAATGCAGGCCAAGATGTTAGCCTGCCAGGCTCTTACCCAAAGCCACGCTCATAGCTGCACCTCTCTGCTTCAGTCGTTAGAAAGCCAGCTAGTGTTGTGCATCGTGACCTGTCCTCGTTTGCTGGTTTTTGTGATGCCTCCCTCCTGTCCTTCCTGGCAAAGGGCTCTGTAGCTCCTGCAGCGGTTGCCTTGATAATAGCGAAAAGAATTAACATGGTGGTGGGTGTCACGGGAAATAAAAGAAGTTTCTCTTGTTTCCTGTCCATCTCCTTGAGCTGAGATACTTATTTCAGCAGTGGCCCCGGGGCCCGAAGGAAGTGCTAAGAAAGTAACAGCAACCGTGTGTCTCCCCGGCAGCTCCTTGTTTGTCCAGTAACGTTTGCTGCTTCATCTCTGGCTTTCCCTCCTTCCCAGAAAGTTCTTCATGCCATAATCTCTTCAAAACCTGCCCAGAAATCTAGCAGGACCCCTTTGTGAAGCACCAACGAGGCCCTTGGCTGTGAGGAAGGAGATGAGGGCCAGAGACGTGGGCAGGAGATGCTCCTTCCTTCTTCATTCTCCCCTCTTCCTGAGGGGAGAAGACCTTCAGCTCGTACTGAAAAACCTCACCAAGCTCAAATGTTTGGATTGGGCAAACTGAACCTCATTGAAACATTCCAGAAACACTTGTGTAGTCACTGCTTTTTGTCCAGAAAACCCCCCAAAACTATCTCTGCACTACTGCAGTTTCCTAGTAGCTCAGGGTAAAGGGAAAAATAACAGCCTGTCTTTCTAAAATCACTGAACATTAACACTTCCCTAATATTCCTAAATAGATGGGAACGCAGTGCAGAACCAGCACAGAGTTTGCAGATGGCAGAAAACAAATGTTTGCGCTTGTTAATAGTGACAGTGCGGAGCGGAATCGGGGCCCTGCTTCCCTCTCCTCAGTTAGGAGCTAATTATGAACTCTGCCGGGAAATTCTGTTTTTGTGTCGTTTCTGCTGCTTTCCCATCAGGAAAAAAGGCGCCAAAAATGGGTGTTTCAGGGATAGCAGAGGCGTCCCCCCACGAATGCCCTGTGGAGAAGGTGAGGGCAGTCAGCTGCTGCTGGGTGCAACCTGCACTTGCTCTTTCTTCCATGAGCTGCCACGGTGAAACCTCTCGGAGCTGCTCCGCTCTCCTTTGGCACCAGGAAAATGCGTCACAGGGGGAATCGCAGGTTCTGCTCCCAAAACATAAAGCTAAATTGGGAACAGCCCCTTTTGGACAGGGCTGCTGTAGAACTGTAAGGCGAGTTTGCAAAGCACGAGGGATGCGTTGGATTGAGGGGCAAAGGGGGTGAGCTGCTTTGGGGGAGAGATGGAGCTGGGAATAGGGAAAGGAGAAGTGCTTCTTACTGGGTGCTTGCTTTTGGCTGACAGGAAGGTGGCAGAGATTGAGCTATTGCCTATGGAAAACAGGGATTAGGGAAATTGTCCGTTTTACCCCCGAAGTTTTAAAATGCAGAAGCTATGTGACACTGCACATAGACCTGTGTGTATATATAGTTCCTATATATTTCACACATATTCGTTTTCATTGAATCAAAAAGGATATAGTTCATTCCTGAAAAAAAAAAAAGGCAAATTTTGTACCTGTTCATCCTTCTTAAAGAAGGACTAGTTGGCCAAGGGTATTTGGCTCACAGTTGGGGTGAACATTGAAAAATCATTAACTTCAAGAACTTGAGGTTCAAGATAAATTATATGGTCTATTATTTCGGCTTGAGCCAGCTGTTCTTTCAGCTTGGGTTGATTTTTTTGTGGTCACACAGTTTTCTACCACATTATTAGGCAGCGGTTTTATTCCTGTGCCACCAATCCATGTCAGCCTTCATTTTTAGAAGCAGCCAGATTCTTTTAATGAGGTATTTATATATAAAATATAAAAATGTTTAAAATATATATATAAAATTACAGATAGGCCCTTGGTGTTACTGGAAGCCGTTGAATGTTGTTCTGCTTCTGTCTGTTTTGTGGTGCCTGCTGCAGCAGGTCAGACACTCCGGTAGGTCCCCTAGAGCTTGTGGTGATGCACAAGGCAGCTTGGAGGAATATTCTGTTTAACCACATCTTTTCCCTTATTTCCATAGACGAGGAATTTTTTATAGGTGCCTGTAGGTAAATTCTTCACAATTTTAAAATTGCAAGTATATATTTCTCCTGTTGGGTATTTGTGAAGTCAGAATTACTGTAATACTGGAGTTGTTTTCTGTTTATTATGCTCTAATTGGCCTTCTTTAGGTATTATACATTTGGTTTCTATGATAGCAGATCAAATCTAGCAGTGTTTTGAGCAAGGGTCGAATATTTAGTCGTTAGGATTTTCAGTCAGTTTAATAATTTTCTGCCAAAGTACCCTTGACATTAGCTCAGTTACTGGAGTGTGTAAACACAGATGTGAAATTTTATTGTGATATAAACTTCTCATTTAGAGGTGGCAGCTCTTTGTAGCCCTTTAGCTCTTTGGAAATGTGATGTGATGAGGAGTAAGGGATGTTTTATTGCACTTACAGGTGACTTTCCACTTGACTTAAGGGGAATCAGACTCTTGTATTGGCTGTGTTCTTACTGTATCTCTCTGACACCGTTCCAAAAGCCATGGCATGCCTTTCTTTCTGGGCTGGTATTAATGTTCTAGTCCTGTTTTAGCATATTAAATGTCCTGTCCATTAATCATATTGAAGTTGTATAAGACTCAGTGGTGGCCAGCGACAGGACAAGGGGCAATGGGTGTAAGTTGCAACACAGGACATTCCATCTCCAGGTGAGGAGGAACTTCTTCCCTGCGAGGGTGCCAGAGCCCTGGCACAGGCTGCCCAGGGAGGCTGTGGAGTCTCCTGCTCTGGAGGTCTTCCAAACTGCGCCCCTGGATGTGACGCTGTGCCCTGCGCTCCGGGTGTCCCTGCTGGAGCCGGGGGGTTGGACTAGATGATCTCTAGAGGTCCCTTCCAACCTCAACCACTCTGTAATTCTGTAATATGGGCCACGTAATAAGGAAACGTGGCCCTAGCTAGTTACTGCCTTTGGTATTTTATATAAAAGGATGGGAAGCAAGATTCAGGTAGATAGAGACACCAAAATAGCTATGGGTGTTGCTATGGCTTGCTTTTGGACCCGGAGAAAGAGTCCAGACATTATATTAACTGAATATTAAGATTATAAAGATATGCAGTGGGTGGATCCCGTTGCGCGTGCTGGTATCCCAGTGTTTTCCAGCTTGGAAAGCCGTGTGGCGGGCAGTGCTGATGCAGCCGCGGCCGCTCTGCCGAGGGGAGCTCGGGGGGTCAGCGCGCGCAGAGCCCAGAGGTCCCTCTGCCAGACCCGGCGTGGGGAACCGGCCTCCCGCAGCTGCCCCAGGGGAAGCAGTGGAATAAAGGAGCGAGTCGAGCAGAGAGAGGCTTGCTGAGGTGCGGCCCGCTGAATTGCCTTCCTCTGGGGCTGCGGCATCTCATGAAATCAAGGAAAGGAGCAAGGTTAAGTGAGGAGGAAGTAGGTAACTCCCAGCTCCAAACAGGTAAAGTACCCCTTTCAGAAGTGCTGGTTTGGATTTTGGCAGGAGAGGGTGTTAACTCATTCCCCTTCATTCCCTTTGTCCTCTGCAGATAGGCAAATTCCCTGTGAAAGGGCAAGTGCTTGGAGAGACCTGCCAAGCACAGGAGCAGCTGCCTGACCTGGCCCTGTAGCCAGCAACTGCTGGGCTGCCTCATGGAAGAGAAAAGAAAAAGAAAACCTGTTAAAAAGTCCGGCTGTCAATGGGATCCTTTTCTTGCTTCCTTTCT